AGAGGGAAAATCTTAATATAATTTGGACATATATTTTAGAAATACCCGTTTTGCTGTAGTTCACATTAATGCAATGTTTAGTAGAGTGCTGTATCCTATGAGAGTTTCCATACTTTGAAACAGTAGTTAAACATTAGAATAACTATAGAAAGTGAACGTAGGAAGCATTCAAAGCACAATATGAGAAAAGGTGAAAGGAAAGAGAAAGTTTGCTTAAATATGAAGTATCGGAATGTTGGAGCAGGACGATGGTAAGCACGTGTTCTCGACTCCAGCAGTGAATTTTAGCAAATGCTTTCACATACAGGCAACACTCTGAAAGCAGAAGGGGATTAGTGTAAGTTAAAGCATGAGACGTATACACAAAACAATTCTTAATGGTGCGAAGAACATCTTTTTCTGGGCATCTGTGAAAGTATATTATATATATATTTTTTCCTTGGATGCCTTAGAAATTCATCTGCTAGAAGGCAGGACCTGATAATTTTCTGTGGTTTAGTGTAAATTGGATATTTAAGTATTTATCATACTTCTGACTCTCTTTACTAAAAATATTCAAATATAGGTTGGGTTATCAGGAAAGGCTTTTTTTTGGTGGCTGGCTGGTAAGGAGATCTGAACCCTTGACCTTTACAAGTCCGCACTCTAACCAACTGGAGGAAAGACTTTTCTGAAGGATGTGAATCTTCACTTGGATGCCAGGAAAATCATGTGAGATCTGGAAAGGTTTCTCCTGTATAAATGTGTAGAATAGAGACACAGAGGCTGGAATTGCATCCATTTGGGAAGAAGGACGTGTGTTGGAAGAGCAGGGGGCGCAGAAGCTTGTAGCAGCTAGTTGGGAGGGCCTTGGATGTCAGGCTCATCTGAGTTTCATATGTTTGAAAATCGGACATACTGTTCTTGAACAGGAAAGCAGCCAAGGACAACTGATTAGGTCCGACCATATAAAAATTGTGGCTTTTGTAGGTAACAAATGGTCGAATATCAGCAGTTACAAGAAGTTGTCTAATACTTTAAGTATACTTTTCAAAGCTTTTCCATGGAACCACAAGCCAGCTGTGCCTGGATCCATTTTCTCCTTTTCTTACCTCTCCTTATCATGGCTCTTCTCTCT